GTATTCTATTTAGATTCCAACTGTTTGAATTTTTTTGATTGTTTTTACTGTAGTTGATTTCTAATTTTATGTTATTGTGACCTGAGAAGATGCTTCCTATCATTTCAATCTTCTTGAATTTGGAGAAATTTTGCCCGTGTCCCCATATGTGGTCTTTCTTTGATAATGGCCCATTTGTGCTTGAGAAGAATGCATATTTTGTAGTTTTGGGGTGGAATATTCTAAATGTTTCAATTAAGTCAATCTGATCTAGTGAGTCATTTACACTAGAAGTTGCTTTGCTAATTTTTTTTTTTTTTATGTAAAGGATTTATCCATTGATGTTAATGGGGTAGTAAAGTCTCCTATTATGATAGTGTTGCTGTCAATCTCACCACTTATATCTTCCAGAAGTTTTTCTTTTTTAATGTATTTGAGTGTTCCTGCATTGGATGCATAAATGTTTGCCAGAGTTATATCCTCTTCTATTGATCCCCTTAGAATTATGAAGTTGCCTTATTTGTCTCTCGTTCTGGTCTTCACTTTGAGGTCTATTTTGTCAGATATAATTATTACTACCCAGCTTTTTATTTTTTATTTCCACTTGCCTGATAAATATTTTTTCATCCCTTCACTTTCAGTCTGTGTGAGTCCCTTGTTCTGAAGTGGGGCTCCTGTAGACATCATATATATGGGTCATGTTTTCTTATTCACTCATTCAATTGATGTCTTTTGATTGGAGCATTTCAACCATTTATGTTTAATGTTATTATTGATAGGTACTTGTTTGTAGTCATTTCTGTACTTTATACCTGTGTTCCTCCCTCCCTTTCTATTTCATCTTTTTACAACATTCCCTTCCACATTTCTTGCATTGGTGGCTTGGTAGTGATAAACTCCCTTAGCCTTTTTTTTTTTTTTTTTTTTTTCCTGAGAAGCTCCTGGTTTCCCCTTCAATTTTGATTGATAGTCTTGCTGAATAGAATATTCTTGTATTCAGTCCTTTGTTTTGTATCACTTTGTATACCTCCTTCCATTCCCTTCTAGCTTGATGTGTTCGTGTTGAGAAATCATTTGATAATCTAATGGGGATCCTTTGTAACTCTCTGTCTCTCTCTCGCAACCTTAAATATTAGCTCTTTGCTGTTTAACATTTTCCATTGTAATTATGACGTGTCTACGTGTGGGTCTTTTGGGATTCATCTTGCTTGGGACTCTCTGTACTTGTGTAACTTTTTTCTTCCCCATGTCAGGGAAGTTTTCTGTCATTATTTCTTCACATAGATTTTCTAATCCTTGCTGCTTTTCTTGTCCTTCTGGCAGCCCTATTATGCGTATGTTACTTCATTGTTGTTTTTTGTTTGTTTGTTTGTTTGTTTTTTGTTGTTGTCCCAAAGCTTCCTTAGGCTCTACTCCTGCTTTTTAATTTTTTCTCCAGTTGCTGTTCAGATTGGGCTTATCTTCTAACTCACTAATTTGGTCCTCTACTTCTTCTACTGTTGAAACATTCCTTGGTGTTTTTTATTGTAGCTATAACACTGTTGATTTCTTCCTTTTTTTTTTTTTTTTTTTTTTTTTTTTGCATAGGTTATTTTCTTGTCCATTCGATATATAACCTGTATGACCATTACTCTGAATTCTTTTTCTATCATGTTGCATGCTTCCTTTTCACTTATTTCCTTTATTGATGAATCCTCAGTTTCTTTCCTCTGGGGATTATTTCATTGTTGCCCCACTCTAACTATCACTATAAGGTTCAAATGTCGAGTTGCGGGGGCCTGAGCCATGTGCAGTGGGAGCTTCACACTCCCAGTGACACATCAGAGTGTCACTGAAGAGCTCTGACACCAAGACATGTGGCTGCTGTGGGTTTGTGGGAACCATGCTCACCCAGGATCAGAGTCACAGATGCTTAGTGTGGCCTTGTGTACGCACCTAGAATCAGGGGCCCTGCTTGTGCCACGCTGAAACAAAGACCCCACTGGTGTGTGCTGAAAATCAGAATCTGCTAGAGCATGTCAAGAGTCAGAGACTCCCTTTGCCTGTGCCAAGCATTGAGTATTAGAATCTCTGTTGCGTGGGGTGGCCTTGCACAGAGAATCAGCTCCTTGTATGCACATGCAACAAGAATTAGAGTCACTTGCTCTTAGTGTGAATGCACTGGGAATCAGGGATCCCAGGCATGTGCAATGAGAAACAGAGTCAAGTTCTTGGTGCTTAGTGCTGCCTCTCACATGGAGAATCAGAGTCATCAATCTGCTTGGGGGACCAGGTTGCACAGTCATATTGTGTATGCAGGAGGTTGACTCCAGCCCTGCAGAAAACAGCCTTCCATGTGTGTTTGCCCTGAATCAAGGTCAGGTGGCTCTGATGTACTGTGTGGGCATGGGGTCTGGTCCTGCAGGTGTGCATTTCTTGAAATAAACTCCCTGTGTCTGTGTACACAGGCTCAAATTCATCACAGCCTCCCTGCATGGGCCCAATGTCTGGTCACAGGAAACAAACTTCCTGAGTTCACCCTCTCAGGCTCAAATTCAGTCACAGGAAACAAACTCCCCAAGATCTCACTCCCCAGTTCAGATTTAGCACAACCTCCCTGTGTGGGCATGGGAAACAAACTTCCCATGTCTGCACACCCAGGCTCAAATTCAGGTAGAGCCGCCACTGCTGTGTGTGAGCAGGAGGCCTGTATGAGGGGAGAGGATCTGGCAGTTCTTAAGCCACTGCCATGGGACCAGCAGGAAGGGGGGGTAGCTCTGTGACTTACAGAAATATGCAGCCAGGGTGCCTGGGGTCTTGGTGTCTGTGGGTCTGCAGCTGTGGTCACAGGTCTTTTACCTGAGTGGCTGTGGGATCCTGGTTTGTGTCTGAGGCCAGATTGGGTAGTGGTGAGTTTAGGATCTTAGTCTCCAGCAGTTCTATTCTTCATGGTCTCTGTGCCCATGCTGGCTGCCCCCAGAGTGTTTGCGGTGGCAGTGGGGTTTTTCCATCTAAAACTGCCTGGTTTGGTAGCCCCTTGGAAGACCTGCAGGATATAACTGTCCCTAGCTCTCACTCTCACACACACCACACATGTCCACACACTCCTCTATCAATTTCTCATTATCTCACAAACTCTCCCTCCTTAACTTCTTGTCAGTCAATATCTTGGGTCTCTCTGTCTTGTAGTTTTTCAAAGACAGGTCTTTTACTTCCTTAGTTAAGTTTATAATTAATATTAATTTTTGTTGCAATGGAAAATGGGTTTGATTTTTTAGTTTCTCTTTATGTAAGTTCATTATTGGCATATAAAAAAACATATATTTTGAGGTATTAATTTTGTATCCTATTCAATTGTTAAATTCATTTATTAAGTCTAGAATTTTTTATTGAGTATTTAGGGTTTTCTATATACAATATCATGTCATCTGTGAATAATGGCAGTTTTACTGCTTATTCCCCAATTTGGATGCCTTTTATTTCTTATTGTCAAAATTGCTATGGCTATCACTTCCAGTATTATTTCTGTTGAACAGGAGTGGTAAAAGTGGACACCCCTGTCTTGTTCCTATTCTTAGAGGAATTGGTTTATTTTTTGCCCATTAACTATGATGTTGGCTGTACGATTGTCATATTTGGCCTTTATCATATTTAGATATGCTCCCTCTGTTCCCACTTTGCTGAGAGTTGTTTTTTGTTTTGTTGTGTTTTTTTTTTTTTAATAAAAAATGGTGTTGGATTTTGTCAAATGTTTTCTCTGTATCTATTGATATGATCATTTGATTTTTTGTCTTTCAATTTGTTTATGTGATGTATCACAATTATTGATTTGTGAATATTGTACCAGTCTTGCATCCCTGGGATGAATCCCACTTGATCATGGTGTAAAATCTTTTTAATATATTGCTGAATATGATTTGCTAATATTTTGTTGAGAATTTTAGCATCTATATTCATCAGGGATATTGACCTGTAATTCTCTTTCTTTGTAGTGTCTTTATCTGTTTTTGGAGTTAGAATTATGCTGGCCTCATATAGAGTCTGGAAGTGTTCCTTTCTTTTGGATTTTCTGAAATAGTTTGCAGAGTATAGGTGTTAGTTCTTCTTTGAATGTTTGGTAAAACTCCCCTGTGAACCTGTCCAGACCTTGACTTTTGTTAGGTGGGAGTTTTTTAATTACTGCTTCTATTTCATCAGTTGTTATTGGCCTATTTAGGTTTTCTGATTCCTCCTGATTTAGTTTGGGAAAGTATATTTTTCTAGGAATTTGTCTATTCCATCCACTATATCCAGCTTGTTGGCATATATTTGTTCATAGTATTTACTTAAAATCATTTTTATTTCTGTGGTGTCAGTAGTTACTTATGAACTTTCTATTCTGATTTTTTTAACCTCTGTCCTCTCTATTTGTTTCTTGATCAGTCTGGCTAACTGTTTATCAATTTTGTTTATCCTTTCAAAGAACCAGCTCTTGGTTTCATTGATTTTTTTGTATTTTGTTTTAGCCGCTCATTATTTCTGCTCTAATCTTTGTTATTTCCTTGCTTCTACTTACTCTGGATTTTTATTGTTATTCTCTTTCTAGTTCTTTAAATTGTAAGGTTAAATAGTTTATTGCTAATTTTTGTTGTATTTTGAGGTATGCCTGTAGTGCTATGAATTTCCCTTTGAGAACAGCTTTTGCTGTGTTCCAGAGATTTGGGGTCATTGTGTGTTCATTTTCTTTTGTTTTGTATTTCTTTATTGATCTTGTTGGTAACCCATTCATTGCTTAATAACATGCTACTTAGCTTCCATGTGCTCGAATGTTTTATGGTGTTTTTACTGTAGTTGATTTATAATTTCATTCTACTGTGATCTGATAAGATGTTTGATATGATTGTAATCTTCTTGAACTTGTAGAGACTTGTTTTGTGTCCCAACATGTGATCTATCTTTGTGAATGACCCATGTGCATTTGAGAAGAATGTATATTCTGCTTCGTTGGGATGATACATTCTATGAATCTTGATTACATACATCTGATTCAGTGTGTCCTTTAGAGTCTATGTTTCCTTGTTAAGTTTTTGTCTGGAATATATATCCAGTGAAGTCAGAGGGGTGTTAAAGTCCTCTACTATAACTCTATTGTTGTTGTCGATCTCTCTGTTAAAGTCCTCAAAGTATTTCTGCTCTCACAGCTCTTATATTGTGTGCATATATGTTTACCAGGGTTATATCCTCTTATTGGATGGATTACTTTAGTATTATGTAATGACCTTTGTTGTCTCTTATGATGACCTTCATTTTGAAGTCTATTTTGTCAGATATGCGTATTGCTACTCCAGCTTTCTTTTCTTTTCCATTTTCATGGAAATTTTTTTTAACATATTTTATTGATTTTGTACAGAGAGGAAGGGAGAGAGATAGAGTTAGAAACATCGATGAGAGAGAGAGTCATCGATCAGCTGCCTCTTGCACACCCCCTACTGGGGATATGCCCACAACCAAGGTACATGCCCTTGACCAGAATCGAACCCGGGACCTTTCAGTCCCCAAGCCGACGCTCTATCCATTGAGCCAAACCAGTCTCGGCTGGAAATTTTTTTTCCATCCCTTCACTCTCATCCTGTGTGAGTATTTTGTACTAAGGTTGGTCTCTTGTAGACAATATATGGTTGGGTCAGGTTTTTGTATCCATTCAGCTACCCTACACCTTTTGATTGGAGCATTTAATCCATTTGTATTTAGGGTTATTATTGATAGGTACTTATTTATTGCCATTTTAATTCTATATGGTTAGGTTTCTCTTTCTTTTTCTCATTATAGCAGTTGCTTTAGCATTTCTTGTAATTCTGGTTTGGTGGTGATATACTCCTTTAGCTTTTTTTAGTCTGTGATGCTCATTATTTGACTATCTATTGTATTTTGAATGATAGCCTTGTGGGATATAGTAACCTTGGTCTCAGATCCTTGCTTTCCATTACCTTGAGTACTTTATGCCATTCCCTTCTGGCCTGTAGAGTTTCTGGTGAGAAAACAGTTGTCAGCCTTATGGGAATTCCTTTGTAGGTACAGTTTTCTTTTCCCTTGCTGACTTTAAGGTTCTCTCTTTGTCTTTTATTTTTTGGCATTTTAATTATGATATGTTTGGGCATGGGCCTGTTTGGGTTCTTCTTATTTGGGGTTCTCTGTGTGTCCTGAACTTGTTTGACTTTTTCCTTTACCAGGTTGGAGAAGATTTTTGCCATTATTTCTTCAAACACGTTCTCTATTCTTTTCTCCCTTTCTGCCTCTTCTGGCACACCTGTTATTCTATTATTGTTACATTTCACATTGTCCCACAGCTCCCTTAAGCTGTCCTCCTGTTTAATATATTTTTTTTCTTTTTGGTTCTCTGATTGAGTAATATTTTCAACTCTGTCTTCTAATTCATTGATTCAATCTTCAGCTTCCCCTAATCTGCTGCATATTCCTTCCAATGTGTTCTTTGTTTGTGTTATGTCATTATTTATCTCAGACTGTTATTTTTCATAGTTACTATATCTTTTTTCATGCTGTTGAACACCTTTACCATCATTACTCTGAACTCTGTTCCAGATAAATTTCTTATCCCTGCTTCATTTATTGCTTCTTCAGGAGGATTCTCTAGTTCTTTCATTTAGGGGTTGTTTCTTTTCTCCTCATTTTAGTTGTCTGGTGGGTTTGTTACTATGTATTAGGTAGATCCTCTACACCTCTCAATTCCTAGTGCAGGTCCATGTTTAAGGCTGTCTCTTACTAATTAGTTCAGGCAAAGAATCAAAGCATCCAGAGTCTGAATTCTGACTTGAATTGTCCATCAGGAAATCTTCCTCAGCAGTGGTGAGAGTTTTTTCAACAGGGTGGAGCAGTTTGTTTCTGCCTGGAATCTAATTGTTATTTTTAACCTTTTAAGTGGCCTCAGGGCAAGGTGTTTTCCAATAGGGTGTATCAACTGTCTTCCCCCCAGGCAAGGCAGATGTCTATGTGAGGAAAGATGTCTTCTGCTGCATGAGGGAATGACTCAGCCCAGGAAACTTGGGGTGTCTGTCTTCTGAGCTCTATCCCCTGAGTCCCGAGTCCTAGCTTCTGCTCTCACAGCTCCAGTCCACTTCACCTTCTCTCTGCTGGAACACAAGGTTTGCGGCTCCACAGGGAATTTTGTGCATTGGTCCTTTAAGAGGGTGCCTGAATTTTCAGCTGCCATTCCTTGACAGATAGCACCTGGCTGCTTTTCACAGCCAGATGTTATGTGGGTACCCTTCTCAGTTTTGGTGCTCTCTGCTGGGGGGCCCAGCTTGAGAATTAGAGACCAGAGTTCTAAGTGGCAACCCCCCACAGCTGAGATATCTCTCCAGGACTTCAGTTGCTGTCTGTGGGCAGCCGGCTAGGCTTTTCATGTCTCTATGCAGTCTTCACTTTTGGTCCTCCAGTATCAGGGTTCTCCTGCAAGTTTTCCATTGATTATTCAGGAAGTTTTTATGTATTTTAGTTGTAATTCCAGTTTGTTCCTTGGTGCAGCATCCACATACTCTGCTGCCATTTTTAATTTTACCACAAATTTTTAAATGTAGTGCATTTGACTAAATGTTATGAAGTATCTTGGTTTGTAACAGAAAAGTTCATTAATATAAAACCTGATGAAATATGAATAAAGTATGTTTTGTTAATAGTAGCATAGCAAATTTAATTTCTTAGTTTTGATAAATGTACAATAGTTATGTAAGATGTTAACATTAGAGGAAACCAGGTTATGGAGGTATGGTGTATATGGGAAATCTAAGTTTATTCCAAAATAAAAGGTTTACTAAAAAAGAAAATATTGATTATATTATGACCCATTATTTTAGAAAGGAGGTTGGAAAGACTGAACAGTTTGACTGAAAATAGTAAGAGCTAGAGCCTTTTTCTTCTTCAGAGCTCCTAAATTGAGCCTTTAGAAATGATGACAGCTAAGATACAATAGAGCACTCCTTGACCATAATTATGATACTTTGAAAATGACTTGTTCAGAGGGTACTTTTCTTTCAGCATTTTAAGCTGTTATATATTCATTGTGATACACATTTTCCAAGCGAATAACTGTAAGTAGTAATTTAACTTATCTTTGACTCATTTCCCTTATATATGAAGTGTGAATGATAATGTCCCTCCTTCATAAGAGTTTTGTGATCATTAAATTATGCCATCTTTGTGAGATGCCTAGCACAGACTTGACATACAATAAACTCTAGAAATTAGTATGCATAGGCATTATAAAAAAATGTTTTTTACATTTAGGTTACTTGTAAATCTCTATAATAAGTCTCATTTTTTAAATTTTTTACAACTTTAAATTATATATTACATATACAATGTCCCTAAATCATAAGTATAAAGCACAAATAATTTTTACAAAGTTAACACATTCATATAATCAACAATTAGATTAAAATATAGAATATTTACTAGTATCATCAGTTCAGAAGTCTCCATATGCCCACTCTCACATATTATCTGCCACAATTAACTTATGTTGGTTTTGTTTCTATTTAGTTTCAGAGACTCTTCTTCCTCTATCATTCATAATTGAATATACTTTGGGGGGTAGATAAAACATTAATGTGGTTCAAAAGCCAAAGCTGTGCATTAGTAATGTCTTCCCTCTAATATCTAATTTGACATAACATGCAGTTTATTTTAAAATAAGAATCACATGTCACTTTGCCAGAAAATTACATGAATGGTAATTTCTGAAACATTCAGTTCCCTTAATTCAGTTCAACCAATATTAAGTGAGCACATACTAATGCAAAAAGCACAGTAGTGGAAAGAAAGGTGTACTAAAGACCTGTCTTTAGAGGTTCCAACCCCAATTAGGGAACCATTTTTTAGAGATTAGAACTCTACTTCAGTGCACACTCTAAATATAATAATATCGTGTTTCCCCGAAAATAAAACATCCTCCGAAAATAAGACCTACTTACAGGTTTCCTTCTGAGTGAAATATAAGGCATCCCCCCCAAAATAAGGCCCCCTTAGGCTCTGTCTCAGAATGAAAATTAATTTACCATAAACTGGTCGCTAGGGCCGCCCTGACTGGCATCTAGCAACCAGTGACGTTTCACGGAGTCCTGATGTCACTGCTGTGTGGAGGAGGAGCAGAGGTCAGAGTGAGCAGTGAGCTCGGGGTGGGAGAGAGGAGGAGACTTTCTTAGATGCATGTAGAAGAACAGGAGGATTAGAGCTGATGGGACACGGCGAAGGTGGTAAGTGCTGGTCTATCTCTGGTGACACTACCTGATGCTCGTGGCCTCCCTCATGCTGACTGAAGGTTCTCAATCAGTGGCAGACCCTGCTCCAGCCCAGATCCAGGCCCCAGCAAGCCCAGTGACAGTCCCCAGGCAGACCCCAGGGGGTAGATGTCTGATAAAGGGGTAGGGGGGATGTCTGGTGAAGGCGTTCAGTGGCACAGGGGTGGGGGGAGGGGGATCACTTAAAATGACACAGGAGGATAAGAGGGGGCAATCAAAATGACACACGAAGATCAGAGGGGGCAATCAAAATGACCCAGGAGGATCAAAAGGGGTTACTAAAATGGTAATCCCCCCTCTGATTCTCCTGTACCATTTTGATTCCCCCCTCTGATCCCCCTGTGTCATTTTAAGTGACCCCCCTCTCCCCACCTTGATACCCCAATTCCTTTTTTTTACCCCTAGAAATGAGTGCAAAAAGAAAAAGCTACTCCGTAGAGTACAAGAAATGAATCGTGGAAGACTCTTGGGGCCAAAATATTACTGCTTTCTGCAAAGAGAAGATGTTGAGTATCCGATTGGTCTGAAAATGGTGAGCAGAGTATGGTAACCTCATTGAACAAGTGGACAAGGGAAATGCTAAATAGAACAAGTGTGGATCAGGTTGGCAACCATTATTTTCCGAGCTGGAAGACCTGATCTGTGAATGGGTTGTTGACAGGAGAGCAGAGGCTTTAGTTGTGAATAGGGCTCAGATTCAAGAATTTGCCCTTGCAATGGCACCACAGTTTGACATAGCCCCCGAAGACTTCAAAGCATCACAACACTGGCTGGATAATTTCCTTCAGCTAAGTGAACTGTCTTTAAAAAGATCTACAACATTGTTGAGGTTGGAAGATACTCAAGTTATTAAGTGAGCCCTTGCATTCAAGTCCTTTATTGATGATGCTGACTTCTCTAAATACAATATTTCCAACATGATTGCTATGGATGAAACTGCAGTGTTTATGGGCCAATCATCTCAAACAACAATTGAACAGCGGGGTGCCTCCTTAGTGTACATTCCCTCCACTGCTTATGAAAGTACACGTGTTTCCTGTATTTTGGCAATTCGTCTGGATGGCACTAAAATCCCACCTTTAATCATTTCTAAGGGCAAGAAGGAAAAGATTGAATGTGTTTTGGGTGTTTTTATTCTTGGAACTGAAAAAGCCTGGGCCACCCAAGCAGTTATAAGGAAGTGGGTAGATTTAATGCTGCTGCTTGTTATGCCAGGGAACCAAAGAGGTCTGCTAGTCTGGGATGCAGCCAGCACTCACCGTGCTAAAGACATCAAGACATTTCTTCACAAAAGAAAAATAGATCAGATAATGATTCCTGCAGGAATATCGGCTTATCTCCAGACTCTTGATATTGCAATAAACAAGCCATTCAAAGACAATTTGCACATGGAAATTAATGACTACATTGACAATAGAATGGAGAGAAATCAGCGTGGAAACTTTGTGAAACCTAAACTGCAAGAAGTTGTGATTTGGGTGAAGAATTCATGGGAGAAATCACTGACAGTTGCATTGCAAATGCACTGCAAGAAGGCTACCTTGACAAGAAGTACTCATTTAAAGACAGTGCTATTGCTAAACATGAGAGATTTGGTCCACTGATTCTGAAAGAAATGGAGTCACAAGAAATTCAACAGGAAATTCAAGAATTGGATTGTTATGATGTTCCAGAAGATGATGACATGATTGTCATTGAATAAATGAGTAAATTCTTGATACTGTAGGATTCACAGTTTGTCTGGTTTGTGTTGATAACTACCGTACTACCTTACTGTATACAGGTAATAAATTTCCTTTATTTTCATTTAAAAATAAATGTGTACTGTATTCTTCTTCATGGAAAAAGAAGACATCCCCTGAAAATAAGACCTAGTGAATCTTTGGGAGCAAAAATTAATATAAGATGCTGTCTTATTTTTGGGGAAACAGGGTAGAGGTTTCTCTCTCATCAATGTTTCTAACTCTATCCCTCTCTCTTCCTCTCTGTAAAAAATCAATAAAATGTATTTTTTTTAAAAAGAGAGAGAAGCAATTAGCTGCTAGGTTCTCAGGCCAAAGGACCTGAAGCACTCAAAGCTTTGAAAAAGAAAGTACTTGAAGATTTGTTTATCACTCTGCTTTAGAAGACAATTGGTGCTACTCTTGGCTATGGTAGGCTTCATTGGGGACTTTATTTCTATAGAATTCTGTTAACTTTTTCTGAAAGATCATCACCAGATCTAGAAGCTTTTAAAATCCCCATAAAACCAGAGAATGAAAAAAGTGTGATGTATAGAAAGATCAGGAATTCATGGAACCTCCTGCCTACTTAACCTTCCAAACCAGATCCCTGGAATAGCCAGCTCCCTTTTCATCTCTTTCTCTCCCAGGTCCTAGGGTTTGGCTCATTTAGCTTCCTTTTCCAGGTGCCACTGTCTTCCTCCCCAACTTTCCACCTGGATTTCTCTCAGAATAGTTTCCTGATTTATCCCTAATTCTGCTTTCTCTGGACTCCAGACAATTGTTTTAAGTTCTTTAAAGTGCTCTATCTGTTATTATCTCTAAGGGAACAGTTGGGCAGAGTGAGATATAACAAAAATGTAAATGACACTATGGAATTGGGGAACGTAAAAAGAACCAAAAACTCTGACTAAACGGGAGTCTTTAGTGAGCTGTGAACATCTGAGCTACCTGCTCACCTCCTATATATGCCATTGACTCTGCCCTGGGACTTGGCACTATTATCTCTGCATCTCCCTTGGAGTTGGATACTAGATCCAACTACAAAATCTTCAACCTGGGGGAGATGTGGTCTCACATTGTTAACAGTCTGCTGGATTTTTTTCTATGTGTGGATTCCCAGATTACTCTCTCTACCTCCAGATTTGTCTCTTTTTTTTTATTAAATTATTATCTGTGTACATATTTTACATTGCCCCCCCTTCCATACATACCCATGCTCCCCAGAGTTTTGTGTCCATTGGTTGTACTTATATGCATGTATGCAAGTCCTTCGGTTGATCTATTATCTCCCCCAGATCTCCTCCTCCCCCCTCCCCACTCTGTAATTTGACAGTCTGTTTGTTGCTTTATTGTCTCTATATCTATCTTTTGGTTCATCAGTTTGTAATGTTCTTTATTATCCATAAATGAGTAACGTCATGTGGTGTTTCTCTTTCATTGACTGGCTTATTTCACTCAGCGTGATGTTCTCCAATTCCATCCAGGTTGCTGCAAATGATTAAAATTCCTTCTTTTTTATGGCAGCATAGTATTCCATTGTATAGAAATACCATAGTTTTTTAATCCAATCTTCTGCTGACGGGAACCTAGGCTGTTTCCAAATCCTAGTATTGTAGATTGTGCTGCTATGAACATAGGGGTGCATATATCCTTTCTGATTGGTGTTTCTAGTTTCTTGGGATATAATCCTAGGAGTGGGATTACTGGGTGAAATGGGAGTTCCATTTTCAGTTTTTTGAGGAAACTCCATACTGTTCTCCACCGTGGTTGCACCAGTCTGTATTCCCACCAGCAGTGCACGAGGGTTCCTTTTTTTCCACAACCACACCAACACTTGTCGTTTGTTGATTTGTTGATGTTGGCCATTCTGACAGGTGTGAGATGGTACTGCATTATTGTTTTGATTTGCATTTCTCCGATAATAAGTGACTTTGAGCATGTTTTCATGTGTCTCTTGGCCTTCCTTTTGTCTTCTGTTGAAAATATTTTATTTAAGTCCATTGCCCATTTTTTAATTGGATCATTCATTTTCCTTTTATTTAGTTGTATAAGCTGTCTGTAGATGTTGGAGATTAAAACATTATCAGTGATAACATTTGCAAATATGTTCTCCTATACAGTGGGCTTTCTTGTTGTTTTGTTGATGGTTTCTTTTGCCATAAAAAAAAAAAAGCTTTTAATTTGATGTAGTCTCATTTGTTTATTTTCTCTTTAGCTTCCATTGCCTTTGGGGCAGTATCAGTGAAGAAGTTCTTTTGGCATATGTCTGAGATTTTGCTTCCTGTGGATGCCTCTAGTATTTTTATGGTTTCCCATCTTATGTTTAAGTCCTGTATACATTTTGAGTTTATTTTTGTGTATGGTGTAAGTTGGTGATCTAGTTTCATTCTTTTGCATGTATCTGTCCAATTTTCCCAACACCACTTATTGAAGAGCCTGTCTTGACTCCATTGTATATTTGTGCCTCCTTTGTCAAATATTAATTGAGCATAGTGATTTAGGTTGATATCTGGGTTCTCGATTCGATTCCATTGATCTATATGTCTGTTCTTGTGCCAGTACCAGGCTGTTTTGAGAACAGTGGCTTTGTAATACAGCTTGAAATCTGGTATTGAGATCCCTCCTACTTTACTCTTCTTTCTCAGGATTGCTGTGGCTATTTGGGGTCTTTTATTGTTCCAAATGAACTTTTGGAGAGTTCTTTCTAGGTCAGTGAAATATGCCTTTGGTATTTTAATAGGGAGAGCATTGAACTTATAAATTGCTGTGGGAAGTATGGACATTTTGATGATGTTGATTCTACCAATACATGAACATGGTATGTTCTTCCATCTGTTTATATCTTCCTCTATCTCTTTTTTCAGTGTCGTGTAGTTTTCCGCATATAGGTCCTTTACTTCCTTAGTTAAGTTTATTCCTAGTTATCTTAATTTTTTTTGGTGTGATGGTAAATGTAATTTCTTTTTTAGTCTCTGTTTATGTAAGTTAACTGTTGGTATATAGAAATGCCATAGATTTCTTGGCGTTAATTTTGTATTCTGATACATTGCCAAATTCATTTATTAAGTCAATTAATTTTTTAATGGAGTCTTTTGGTTTTTTATGTACAATATCATGTCATTGAAAATAAGGATAACTTTACTTCTTCTTTTCCAATTTGGATGCCTTTTATTTCCTCCTCTTGTCTAATTGCAATGGCTAGTACTTCCAGTACTATGTCAAACAGGAATGGCGAAAGTGGGCATCCCTGTCTTGTTCCTGTTCTTAGAGGGAATGGTGTTAGTTTTTGCCCATTGAGTATGATGTTGGCTGTGGGTTTATCATATATAGCTTTTATTATGTTGAGGTATGATCCTTGTACTCCCACCTTGTTAAGAGTTTTTATCAGGAAAGGGTGTTGGATTTTATCAAATGCTTTTTCTGCATCAAT